TTTTCCGAAAAAAACAGTGGTTGTAAGTTTTAAGTCCAGGTTTCCCGGGCCCCCCCCCCCCCTCTCCATTACAGACACCATAGCAACCGAAGCCCCCATTACAGATCATAGCAATCAATATAAAACATGTTAGATTTTCTAGTTTTTTTTTTGGAAAATTGATGAAGTTATTATTTTGAAAAATAATGAATATCATTATTTGTGACTTGATTAATGTATATCATAGTGTGTAAGATCTGCTGTAGATATCATAGACATGTAAAACACACTTATTTGTCAATCAGTTCAATGATTATAATAATAACAATGATAAATTAAGAAAAACGAATTAGAAAAAAATAAAAAAATAATGAGCGAATAGTAACAATGAAAACAAAAAATAGGGCACCCGTCAGGAAACGAAAAATAAAAAATTCTTTATTTTTCATCTTCTGTATTTCGTATTAAGATAATGAAGCTGAAGAACATATGTGAATTCCACATTTCAGTCCCAAAAGGGGCTGCGCTAACAAGCTTTTTTATTCAAAACTACGTGTGCTTGATAAATGTATATTCAATAAAAATGATGGTAATTTTCACGTTTCGCTCGTAGTCGTTAACATAGACAAAACTCGGAATGTTGCACAATAAAGAATACATTTTTTTATTCACAGGCGACCGACAATTACCAGAAAATGAAACTTGCAGATGAATACTAGGAAGAAAACCAAAGAGAGTTAATCTATAAATACTAAGTTTTTGTAGTAAATAACAATGAAATATAAACATTATAATTTATTCTATCAAAAATATCAATTAAATCAAAATAATTACTATTTCAACTTAATTAAGTCTGCTAAAAATTCAATAAAAAACTTAATCGAGTTAAGATGAGTCAATAGTTATAACTATGATTGATTAATTATTGCCATTTTTCTCAACTATCAACTTTTTCAAAAAAAAGTTTTAACTTCCATACTAATCCTCACAAAATAAATGCATCTTTAGCTATGAAAACAATACAAAGAGTTAATAAAGCTCGCCATGCAATACTGAAATAACCTGAAAATCAAAGTAGAGGTGTCAATCGTCTTGTAAATAAAAACCAGTAATTCTTTTGATACATTCATTCAAAGGAAGTTTTGAGATTTTATTATAATTGTTTGGTATTCTGACAACATTTTAATTGATCATTTTTTATCAAGACTACGAAGAAAACTTTTCACTTCTAGATCGTCATAAAAAAAACTACAAAAATATTCACAACTGAATCTATTATATTGAACAACGAGAACAATGACAACGTATCTAATATCGAAAAAAATCAACCTTGAGTTCAACATTCTTGTAGGTAGAAAACATTATTAGTTTTAATACTAATTATAAGAAAAATCGTTTGTTCTTATAGCTTCTTATCATTGGAGACAAAAAAGAGCGTAAAAAACAAACTCATTACATGATACATCTAACAATCTTTCATTGGCTTTTATTGCATTAATAGTTGGAATTATTATCTTCATCATTTATTAAAAAAAAAAACAAAGAATTCCTTCAGCTTATGATAGTAGTGAATCAAACGATGGTTGTACAATAAACATAAAAGAAGAAAGCGAGATATCGATGGTTAAAGATAAAGAAAGTATCAATTTGGTTAACTATGTTCTTGTCTAAAAATATGATTCTTTGTCAATATTTAATAATAAACTTACAATAAATTCAATTCGAGTAATATATATTTTTTTTGCTAACATTTTAATTATCTTACTCATTAAAATTGATTTTCCCCGTATTTTGTAAAAGACAATATGAAAGGAGTATTGACGTAAAGGAGTAGAAATTAGATGATCCCTATTCACACAGATGTAGCAGACCGTAACATTTGAGCTCTTACTACCTTATAGTATTTGTGAAGGATTGAGTAAAAAAGATAATGAAGAAATATCTTCCAGAATAGATAGAATAACACGATCTTTTTATGGTTAGCAAGAGCGACCATGTATATTCCTTTTCACATTTTTGTCTCGCGCGCATTACATTAGCAACTTTTCTGCTTGAACATTAAAAACATAAACCGTTTGTTTTTCTGTAATTTTTCTATTCCAATATCAAAAAGGTAAATCTAAAGAGGTACTCATGAGCTCTATGATCGCAGTTATGCATTTCGTTTTTCTCGACGAAATAACTTCAATTTGTTTTGTAAACGTAGCTTTTATCATATTGAAATGAGAAGCATTGAATCTATATTTCTTCATGAAACTTTATCTAATGATCTTTGCCTTATGGTGTTGACTTTCAAGACGTGTATCTTCTATTATTTTTCTCTTCTGTGATCAATACATAAGTATGAGACTGTATTGATATAGACACAACTGGAGTGATTCATCGGCTCACTAAACATTATTATCGAGGGTAATGATAGTTTCACCTTTCACTTCATCACGTAAGTATTTTACATATTCTCTGAAGCCATTCACTTTTTCTATTTGATACTCTTTTCCAAAATAATATTTTTTTCACCATATTAAATATATTGTTGTTAGTGAATATGTACATAATGATTCAAGGCATTTTTATCAGGGTTAATAAAGATAAAGTACAATGCACTTTGATGTTTTATGCTGTCTAGGCAATATGATATTGTTTAAAAATATTATCAAAATCATGCATCGTCATTATGATTTATATTTTTCTTCTCTTCAGACAAACATACTTTCTCTTCTTATTGTCTGTTTCAACATCGAAAGAAAAAGAAAAACCTGCTAGCACATGACTTACATCGTTGATCAACCTGCACGATGTGTTTATGAATATGCAAATATATTTTGATTATGTTTAATCGAATAATAAATAATAGTCATCATATGCTTATTTACTTGCCCAAGTCGTTTCATTAATCAATAGTTATAGAGGAAGTACAATTGCAAAAGTATCCAAATCGTTCTGGCTCGTTATTCATACTAGTTGTCTATGATAAAAAAAATCCAGCTTTCTCTGAATATTTCAATGCTCCAGCACGTGTACCTGTACACAATTAATAACAAAATGATTTCATGGCGGATATTTTAAATGTATCAGTAAATGTCATCGAAGAAAAAGAATTTCACTGAGGACTGAGATGTAGCAAGAGCAGTGCTGTAAATCGCCGAGTTCTAAAAAAATTTCAGTTCTTTGTGGCAAAAATCCTATGTTGTTATTAGAAACAAGATCGTTAGAAAGAAAAACCGAGTCCAGCACTCTTCAGTTCTTCATAACTTGTGCATGTACCCTTTCAGCTACTACCAAATGTTTTTCCATTTTCCTTAGCTATATCCCTGATATGCAATAACAAATGTGGCCTGTTAAGGGCACGATTATGATACATTTAAATCAATCAATATCATGCTCCTAAATATTTATCTTTGAATAGAAAAGGAAAGAAATGAATGTTTTTTTTTCAATTATCGACTATATTGATTGCATTATCGATGGCTGCTCGCATATTCTACTATTATTATACTCACCAATTGGATATTTTACATTACCGATAGTATTGCTGCGCTATTATTTCGTATATCTTTCGTTGATGATGATATTTTAAAATTAACACGACATCATCGTATGCAAGATTTCATCGAATGCTTTCCTTTCGAAATAAAATCTTGCTATTTCTACATCCTAAATCAATAAAAACTGATGCAGATTCAAAAGCACTATTTGAATTAATTTCAATTTATCATCCAAAACTGGATTTAAATGACGATTTGACCAATAATGACATTGAAGAATTTCGTTATCATTCAAAACGAATATTAACTAATTTATTACTAGCGAAATCATCATTTTATCTTATTCAACATCATATATTTCAATATAATACTAAGCAAATAAATATGTATTCTATACAGCATGAAAAAATCAATGATTTGAAATGTTTTAATCCACCATTAATTCTTTATTTTCATGGTGGTGGATTTGTTTTTGGCGATATTGATACATATTCTGGTTTTGAATGTCATCTATCAGAATCTCTTAATACGTTAATACTTCATGTTGATTTTCATCTTGCACCTGAATATTCTCTTGAAGAGACGATTGAAAATGTAATTAATGTTTATCAAGTTTTACTTGATACTGATCCAAATATTCATTGACGATTAATTGGAATGGGTGATTCAACAGGTGGAATGCTTTGGATTTATCTTTTACAATGGATTATATCAAATAATAAACCTATTCCACAGGGTTTTATTTTCCATTTTCCATGACCTAATCTTGAATATTTGAATAGAATTGCTAGATTCTCTACGGGTGGTTATTTATCATTAAAGCTTGCATATAGTTTAAGATAATTAGTAATTGGTAAAATGGATATTGGTTTGAAGTAACTGATGAAAATCTAAGTAAAACAAGTCCAAAAGAGAATTCATTTGAAGGACTTCCACCATTTTATATAACAGCCAGTACAAATGAAATATTAATTGATGCAATTCGTGATATGCATGAGAAAGTGCGATTATCAGAAGTGGAAGTAATGTATACAAATTCTTTATTTCATCTTTGGTCACCACAAGGTAAATATACTCAAGAAAAAATTGGCCAATGGACTTGAGAAAAATTGTTAGTTGGACTACAATCAACATCGAAAATGAATAGCATCATAACAAATGAAATGTTTATTTAAGATTCAGGATCAAAGTGTTTTTGATTCGATGAGAATTGGAACAATATGTTTTAATTTGGAAATTACACTTGTAATCTAAATTTGGATTTGGTTTAGTTTTGCACAAATGTATAAACGCTTTGGAACTTTTTTTCGTACATGTGTTTGAAAAAATTGAGAGTTAGGGAAATTAAAAGAGAATTGTGAAAAGATTCGAAAACAAAGACAATCAAAATAGATTAGAAAAAAAATCTTATCTTTAATTTTGTAAATATTTACATTTAAATAAAGTCCACCAGAATCTAAAAATTTGTCAAGTTCACAAGTGCTATCAATTTCACTGATATATTCTTTGTCAAGCACCGAATGTATGAAAAAATCTTTAAGCTTATATTCACTGTTATTAGCATTTTAATTATGTGAAATGTATGAATTCGAGAAGAAAAAAAAACAATGCTTAGTAGCCTAGCTCATTATGATTTTTAATGTAAAGCGAGATTTGTACATTCACTACGGAAATTCTTTAGAACGATCCAACAAAATATTTAAGAAACCAATATTTTTCAAACTTCAAACAAATGAACGTACGACGACTTTACGTACAAAAATGTAGAATAAATCACTCTATATTCATGCTTCTATTCCATAAAAAAGCGGTACATTTCGAGTGACCATATTACTCATTGTAGACATCTTTGTATTTGTATATGTGTAGAGTACGAATGATGGTATTCTATTTTTGCTTAGATTTCTTTCTTTTTTTGTTTCTTGATGTCTATCCTGTATAGTCGAAATAAAATCGCATCTTAATACATTAGTAAAAATGAAATTGAAATAATCTGCTAGATTTATGTAAGTCGATATAGGTTTATTACTGTTTATTCTATAGAAAGGCTTTCTTTTATATTTCGAGCCGACACTGTATTGTGACACAAAAAACCATCTTAGATCATTATCTAATCGAAAAAAAGTATACTATTTTCTTTGATCGAATTTTTGTATATTAAAACAATTTCTAATTGAGACGAAAATTTTAGATTTGAAATTTTGGAGAATTATTTGATGAAACCAATGTGATTTTTTGATTCGTTTAACTATAGAGTTACTTGATGTTTAAATTGTTTGTATTTATTTATAAAAATCAAATGATTATTTTTTTACATCAATCAAAAGACGTTATATTAAATACCATAATGATTTTGTTTAAAGCAATTTTTCATTTTCAATGGTTTTCTAGTTGCATCTTTCATCGAGAACAAAGTTGAATTATTGATTAATAAAAGATTTATACATTTAATATTTCCGTATTTTTTTGTAGCTGCTCTAAAAAAAAGTGAATGATAAGAGATTGAAATTCGCATAGTTTTGTTTCGGATTATTAATTGATAGTGACATACGAAAGTAATCTATTTCAAACTATTTTTGCCTGATTTTTGTTGCATTAGAAAATACCAGATAAACTGGTGAATGTTAATCTAGATTATTTACCTTAACAGAAAACAACTATTACTCATTGAAAAAAGAACAATCCTTGTGTTCACAGAAGAGTGACGCATCAAGCTGGAAAAATACAGGTAGAGTCGTCTAGTGAGTCACAAGAAAATTTCACCTAGAGAGAAAATAGCCCCAGTATGTTATCAGAGCTCGACATACATTTGAAGTCATTTTGGATCATCACTAAAGTCCTTCTATTCACTAGCGGATATTAGGTAAACTCGACATTTTTACGATCTTTGAAAGCCTCCTTCACTTTCTCTATTTGATATTCTTTTCCAAAATAATATTTTTCTCATCATATAAAATATATTGTTGTTAATGAATATGTGCATAATGATTCAAGGCATTTTTATCAGGGTTAATAAAGATAAAGTACAATGTACTTTTATGTTTTATGCTGTCTAGGCAATATAATATTTTTTTAAATATATTATTCAAATGATGAATCATTGTTATGATTCATCTCATTCTCTTCCCTAGAAAAAGATAAACTTTCTTCTTATTCTATGATTCAACATTGAAAGAAAAACAAAAAATTGTTATCACATGATTTACATCGTTGATCAATCTATACAACGCGTGTATCAATATGCTAATGTGTTTTGATTGTGTTTAAACGAACAAGTCATAATAATCATCAAATGCTTATTTATCTAATTGGGTCACTTTATTAACCAATAGTTGTCAACGGAATTCACTTGCACAGGTATCCAAATCGACCCCATTTGTTAGTCATACTAATTACCAAGGATAAAAAAAACTCAAGTTTTTTATTTTGAATATTTTGAAATTCTAATAACTTTTACTTACATTGAAATAAAATACAAAATTTTGTAAGAAAATGATCTCTTCAAAGATATTTGCAGTCGATTAATACATGTCACTCGAGAGAAAGAACTTTGATAAATAACTGGGATGTAGTCATGAGGGAAAGTGATACCGTCTCACTTTTAGTATATTTTCAGTTATTTCCAGCTCAAATCGTATGTTTTTATGTAGAACAAGATTGTTACACAAAAAAAAAAACGAAAGTTTAGCATTCTGAAGTTTTCAAAAATCATGCATGCACGTTTGCAGCTACCAATACGTTTCTTTTCTTCTCCTTTTTGCCCCTTCGTCATATCCCTGGAAGAAAGTAGCGATCATCGTCTGTCAACTGTACGATTATGATGCATATATCGATCAATATCATGGCTCTTAGTCACTCATATATTCGTATATAAAGAAAGTAAAACGAATGATTCTTTTCATTTATTAACTATATTGATTTCATTGTCACTGACTACTCGCATATACCTCGTTCGAAATGCTCAGCTATTTGACGTCTGGTATTATTGCAATTATGGTTACGTTTCTAGTTTTTAAACCTTTCGTTGATGATGATATTTTAAAATTAACACAACATCATGGTATGGCAATATTCCATAGAATGTTTTCCTTTCGAAATAAGCTTTTACCATTTCTACATCCTGGATCAATAAGAGTGGATGCAGATTCAAAAGCATTAGTTGAATTAATTTCACTTTATCATGCAAAACTTGTTTTAAGTGATGATTTAACCAATAGTGACATTGAACAGTTTCGTTATCATTCAAAACAAATGTTAACTGGTTTATTTCCTGCAAAATCATCATCTTGTCTTATTCAACATCATACATTTCAATAT